TGTTAAAATACTTCGTGAACAGTGACCCAAAATCAAAACACAAAAAATTATTATTTTTTTTGTTATGACAACTGTTTATGGCCCAAAACCAAAACAATAGTGCAACACGGGCCAAAAACAAAATGTCCATTTTCAAACGTGCTTTCGATTTTTTTTTTCAAAACACTTCTACAGCAAAAACACTGTTTTTGTTTTACCAAAAAAAAAAAAAATGACTAAAACAAAGTATATGCGAAACGGACCTTAAGTGTATTTACGGGTGGGCCGGATGGTCAGGAAGACAGAAAATCTTACTTATATAACAGCAAAATGAGTGAACTCCTTTTTAACTCAAACAAGAAAAAAACTGCGTCACAGAGTCTCAAAGGTCTTCGAGCCTGAGCTGCTAGCTCAAGCGTTCAAACACAACAGATTCAATTTGCATACCACCTCATCTTGTGTACCGTGGTCATCTCCATTGTGGTGTGGCCGCTCATTTATGTTCAATAAACCCTTGCTTTTCGCGTTATTCATGAAATCTAGATAGGGAATCCTGGATAGTTCTTCCTCTTTTAGGCTTCTCATGCCAATTCCCAGAACTTCAACTCGGGTACTGCAGTCTCTTGTTTCATTATAAGGTGTGATAACTTAGGTAATCTCTGTTACTAATCCTTTGTGTACCTTGGTGTTCCTAACCATCCACTCATTTTTGCCCAATCCCCCTTTATAATATTACGTGTTTGGTAATAAATAATAAAAATTCCATCTAGTTGATCTTTTGAACCCAATTCAAGACATGATGACTAATCGATCAATCTTGGGGTAAGCAGCCTCTACTGTTTATATTTACTTTCATTTAATTCTTTTGTTATAAGATTTTTTGAAGCAAAAATATTAAAATATGTTTGGTCAAAAAAAAAAAAAAAGTGTTACAAGATTGAAAAACAAAATGGCTACTTAAAAAGAAGCCACATAGGTTTCTTTTGTTTGTTTGGTACCATTCATTGCTACAATATTTTTGCTACAGTGCAAAAAATAGTAAAGAACCATCAAAATTTTGTTTCCCATTTGAAGGTCTTTTCGATAACAACGACTTACCATTCAAATGACAACAAAAATTACCAAACCTGTTGGGGTGTTTTATTTCACCATATGATATAATATCAACACAAAAACACAAACAAAATCGGTTTCCAAATATACCTTAAGCTTTTTTTATTATTGTTTCTCACTTTCTTTGACAACCACAGGCTGCACAGCTTCTTTACACAGCAGCATAAGTTGTGAACGGGAAAATTGTTCCTAGAAAGGAATAGGAATGTTTATTTACTGCATATATATTAGGAGATAAAAGTTGGAAAAGGATATATATGACAATAAAATCTTTGACAATACTCCACAATGAGTATGAGTTTTAAATAGGAATGAATATATATATATCTATATAGATATATATGTATATCTCTATTTATGTATATATATTTTAAAAATTAAATCAAAGATCACACATATATTGACGGTTATTTCTAAACAAAGTTTTTAGACAAATTAAAATAAAAGATAATACGGAGTAACAATTAAGTCCACAAAACTTCACTGAATATCTTGACCGAAGACTTTTACATAAAAAGTGGGACCCTGTAATAAAAAAACAGTAAAATATTTGGTGAACACATGCACTTGGTGTGTTCTATCATGAATCAGTTTATCGTTAAGAACGGAACGGGACGGGGTTTGTGGGACCGGTGAAATTTACATTCCCGCGTGAATGAGAAGGAAAGGGTATTAAGTACGCGTTATACTGTGTTAAATGAGCGGAGAATCGTAGAAGCTGATGTGGCTTGACAATGAAAATCCGAAAGCGCGTCATGGGCGGCACGTGACAATGTACACATCCCTCCTCATTGAAAACTTTGAGGTTAAGGGTCCACCCCTACTGATACGGCTCATAACCGGACAAATTCAACTTTTTCAGCTTCACACCATGTCTCCCACGTGTCCTACCTTTTAGTTATACACCATTTCCCCCCCTCTATATATGTGTTATATATATACACACACATGCATATAATTTGTATAAAATGTGTATAATAAAAATAAAAAAAATGAAAGGAAAGAGAGAAAAAAACTCAAAAAGGTATCTTTTCAAGATTCAATCTTTCTCTAATATACCAGAAGATTGTGATTGATCAACCGAGCAGCAGATTCCCTCTTGCATGGGGAAAATTCATCTCACCCTAACCTGTTTTTATGATAAATTACAATTTTGCCAAAAGAAATTATTCCTATAATTAAAAATTTGTTTCTTTATTTATTGTATTCCTTTCAATAACATATGTATATAGGTTTTTTAAAATTAAATTAAAAATTTTTTTATTGGCAATGGTTAGCAGTTAAGTTGGAGGAGAGGAGAATCCAACATAAGTTCAACAGGGGTGAGGGCACTTTATACCTAACCTTTTTACCACTCAAATAATACCGTTACACTTAAATTTAATAAATATATTACATTAAGTTTTTGTGATGTACCATATAGTCTATTGCTTTCCAAACTAATAGAAAGGAATTCGGACAGGTTCACGTAACACAAGGTGTGTTTGGCTACATAGAATTAAAATTTTAAAATTAAAATTTATGAAATGGAAGAAAAATAACTCAAAAAAATAAACTAATTTTTTTTTTTCAATTCTAAAATTCTAATTTCATGCAATGGAATTCATATTAATGTTTATAAGGAGTAATTAGAAAGTCAACCGAATATTTCTCTACTTTGATAATAGTCTTAAGGCTTAATTTGATGTGATTAAAAAAATAAAATTTTTAATTATTAATTATAATAGTAATGAGAGATGTCTCGATAATCACTATCTACTAATTTAATTTTTACCATTTATATATATATATATATATATATATATATATATATATATATTTATTGCTAGATTTTTGTTGATCAAATTGACAGACAATAGAAAAGGACAGAAAAGGAAGGTAGGGCCTTTGCAGAATCCCTTCTAAAAAGGCTACTTTTATGAACCACTGGTAACTCAAAACCTCTCTCTCTCACACACAAGCACTCTCTCTCTCACACACACACACACATTCAGTTCTCCAAGACATATATTAATTTCTCAAGTTGAACCCATACAGTACTGCCCCATCTCATATTTGACACTTTGTGATGCTCATACGTGCACGTTGGTTTGGATCCTAAGAAACGGCAAGTCCCCAAAACCAGAAAAAGGCAAAAACGACAGGTCCCTCTCGACAAACTTAACCAATATGGCATCTTTAAAAGATTTTGTTGGTAGTCTTCATATTTGATTTAGGGAATGATAATATATGGCTCAAACATTTTAAGGGAAAAAAAAAGAAAGTAATTTTCTAAAAAGGATTTAAACCAACATGGCTTTGTTTATTATGTTTTGATTTAATTATTTGATTTTATGATTGGCAAGACAAAAGGGGGAACACATGAACATGTCAAATAGTTGTACGTATTCTCCATAAGTAATTTAGGGTGGTCAATACATTGAGTAAGGGACCAGAGCTTTAAATTGGCCTCGCCTTGAGGGACACTCAAAAGTTGCCAAACTTTTATTATTAATGACATTTGCAAAATGCTATCACAAAGCATTAAGTTGGATTCAGTTGGGAAGTTCACTGGTACGCATTAGGGTTTGTATACTTGAATGAGCTTCGGGAGTGGGTACTTCATTTTTAACTTAAATTTCTTGTCTCTGTCTCTCACCAGTATCGGAGGAGGCGAGTCATCACATGTTAAGAAGTTATGGGCTTATTTGGTTCAGTTTTTCACAATTTTCTAATTTTTAAAATTTTAAAAGTTGTTCAAAAATCTTATTGATTAATAGTTTTGAAAGAATTTGAAAACAATTTTCTCTTTTTTGAGTTCTTGAGAATTTTTTTCTGAATAACAAATCAAGAATGCCTTAAATTGCTTGCTAAATTAAAAATTAAGTACTAAAAACTTTTAAAAATAAATTATAAATGTTAAATGTTAAATGTCAAATAAAAGGTGTTGTAATTCCGTATTTAATTCTTTGCATATATAAATATATATGTATATATAGAGATCGAAGTGATAATATTGACGATTGGGAGTAAGTTGTCTCACATGTGCGTCAGACCAAAGTTGTGTGGATTCGAACCCTACACACATTTTTGGATAGGTTTGGACAACACCTTTTGTTACTCAGGTTGAAACTTAATAGCGGTATTGACAAACGAAGCCAATACTAAGTTGACTTCAACGTTCAACACAGTTTAACTGAGTTTAATTCATCCTACTTGAATATAATCGAAAAAACTTGAGTCTAATTTGACAAACCCAACCAACTTAAACATGATTTTATCAACAAGACAACTGATAAATCGAGAGTTATGGCAAGTGAGAGTTGATTGTATCACATGTGTAGGCCCCACCATGGCTATTTCAATCCAAACCCGACCTACATTTTGGATAGGTTTGGACAACAATTTTTTGTCACTCAAGTAGGATTAAGGTATTGACATATCCCAAGTCAATATGAAGTTGATCCAACTTGAATGTTGAACACAGTCTAATTAAAGTTGATTCGTCCAACTAAAGTATAACCGGAACATCTTGAGTCTAATTTGGCAAACCCAACCAACTTAAACATGGTCTTATCAACTCAAGCCTAAATTGAAGTTAAAACATTATATTCAGAGTCGGCTTGTTGTGTTAAAAAATTTATATAATATAAAAGGATATTTCAGTCTTTTAACCAAAATAAGTTTCTTTATCCTAATCGTGTAATCTTTCCATTCTCAAAAACAGAGAGGAAAGGTTTGAACCGAGCCTAAACAAAAAACCGTGTGTGCATTTACTTTAATAAATAAATAGGGTTGCATGGTTAAGAAGGATTGTGAAAATTTCCAGAAAAAAATTAATTGAATAAATGACTAAATATATTATACTTGACTTTTACCATATATTGCCGGTATGATTAAATGACTATATATATATATTATTTGCATATTATATTCATTACCAACTTTTGCCATTTATTGCCCGGAGAAGAAGAAATCTAAACTCCATCCCAACCCTTGAAAACCATCTTCCCCAATGAGTCCCATACCTAAAACTACTGGTTCAACTTCCATAACCACCACCGGATCCGCCGTGAAACGCCGCAAACTCACTGGAAAAGACTACCACCAGCCTCTTCTACCTGGACTCCCCGATCACATCGCCCAACTCTGCCTCTCTCCTCTTCCCCCTTCCCTTCTCTACTCCGTCTGCCGCTCATGGCGTCGCCTCATCTATTCCCCCTCTTTCCCTCCTTTTCTCTCTCTTTACGCTCTCTTTCTATCAGACCAAACAACCCAAAATTCAAACTCTATCAACTTCTTCTCCTTCGATCCGATCTCGTCAAAATGGCATTCCCTCCCTCCACCACCGCCTGATCCGCCGCTTCACCTCCTCCTCCGCCACCCTTCCTTCATCTCCCGCAACCTCCCCATCCAATCTGTGGCGGTTTCCGGCCACCTCATCCTCCTCGCCGCCACGGCCGACCACTTCCTCCCGGCCCTCCCTCGCCCCCTCATCTTCAACCCTATTTCCAACAAGTGGGTCTTCGGGCCACCACTCGCCGCCCCGCGCCGGTGGTGCGCCGCCGGAAGCTACAGCGGCGAAATCTACGTGGCCAGTGGGATTGGGTCCCACTATACCCAAGAGGTTGCTCGGTCTGTAGAGAAAATGGTTGTACCCAAAAATCAGAATTATTGCTATCAGAGAAACAGTTTTGGAGCTGAATTGAAGTGGGAAAAATTGGGTGCTCTGAGAGATGGAAAGCTGAGTAGAGATGCAATTGAAGCAGTTGGGTGGAGAGGAAGGCTGTGTATGGTGAATGTGAGAGGCTACGCGACGAAAGAAGGGGTGGTTTACGATGTGGGAAAGGACGAATGGGAGGAAATGCCGGCGGGGATGGTGGCCGGATGGAGAGGTCCGGCGGCGACAATGGATGAGGAGACGATATTTGTGGTGGATGAGTCGAAGGGCGTGCTTAGAAGATATGAGCCGGAGAAGGATGTGTGGATGGAGATGTTTGAATCGGAGAAGCTGAGAGGAGCTAAGCAGATGGCTGCTGGTGGTGGCAGAGTGTGTGTCACGTGTGGCGGCGGTAGTGGAATTGTGGTGGTGGATGTGGTGGCGTCACCGCCTAGATTATGGGTGGTGGATACGCCACCTGGGTTTGAAACTCTGGCGGTTCATGTCCTGCCCAGGATCAACCAACCAGATTTTCAAACACTCATGTAATGAATTTGGGAGTACATGGTAGTAATGTTAGAGCACGGAATATTGGAATTGAAATTGGAGTATGGAATTGGCTTCCAAACATGGCTTTCTAGTTTTTCTAAACCTCATCCATGTAATGGTGGCACGTATAGGGATGAAATTGTAATTAGTTCAAGAATTTTCCGCCATCTCCAAGAGCTATCCATGGAAGTTTTCAGAAGCTCCAAATTCAGGGTATGTTCCAATCAATCAGGGAAGACCCAACCCGTTTGTGTATTTGATTCAAGACAAAATCAAAAAAATATATATTCTAACTTTTGGCATAGCATTGGTGTCATAGGTTTGCTCATGACTCTGGAAAGTTGTATATTTGTTTACCGGATACTTGCAATATACGGTCATACATATATACTGTTGATATATATATATATATATATATATGTATATATAGTGTTGATCTATTTGATAGTCAATCAAATCTGATGATGTGAAGAAGGGATTGCTGTTTTTAAGAATTATATTTGTTACTTTGTACGAGTATTTGATAATTGCTGTTTGTAAATGACATGAAGAGGTTGACTTTGGGTGAAAGAAAAAGTTGTGGCCTGTGGTTGAGTGGCTGAAAGAAAAAGTTCGAAACGCAGGGCTTGTAATTAATTACCAGATTTACCCAAACTCTTGAATTCTAAAAGTTGGCTAGGCCGGACAAACTTATGTCGGTTGTACTGTAAATGTTAGAAAGTACCTTTTTGTAAGCCTTACAGTATATATATATATAAACGAGGAAGAAGAATAAGATTCAGAGCACCTTCTTCAATTAACAGCTAACGCTCGCAAACTCACGGTAACATAGCCCTTTCTATGTAAGACTTAGGTTTTGTTTGGTACGGTGGGTTTGAAGGGGAAGGATAACATTAGTCACGAGAGAAAGGGAAGGGAAGGAAAAGGAAGGATAATTTTAAACCTCCATTGCGTTTGATTGATTAACGAAGGAAAAGAAAAAGAAAGAAAAAGAAATGGAAGGAAATTATTTTAACATATGGACTATTATACCCATTTATATTTATATATTATATATATATTATATATATATATAGTTTCATGTACTTGCCAAAAAAAAATAATAATAATAAATAAATAAAAATTAGGGCAAATCATTTCAGCCTCCCTAATCCTCCATCTCTATTTTTTATATATATATATATATATATATATATATATATATAAATTCTTTAACTTGAGGCCATAAGAAAAGAAAAATAAAAAAATAGGGCAAAGCCTCCCCAATCTCGCTCCATCTCTGCAACTCCTTCTCAACACTGAACTTGGCCTCTCTCTCCTCTCTCTCTCTCTCTCTACAAGAATCAGAAATTCAAAACCCATATATTTCCAGTTTATCTATCTGTTTGCAAGAATCAAAAGTTCAAACCCGTATCGATGTATCATTTCAGATTGTTCAAAAAATCCAAAACCCATATCCTTCAGTTTCCATGGCTGCTATTCCAGTTCGGGTCGCCGTTCCAAGCTTCAATCACCGGCGGTCTCTCTCTCTCTCTCCAATCTTAGGGTAAAATTGGCATCTGAAATCACCCATCAAGCCTCTCCTTCCCTTTCCCTTCATTTCCTCCCATTTTTGGGAGGTTAAGAAATCTACTGTTGAAGGCACAAGCTAACCCTCCAAACCCTTCCCTTCACTTCCCTTTCCTTTCAACAATTTTTGCCAAACACACATTTTTAATCCCCCTCCATCACCTTCCCTTCCCTTTCCTCCCTTTTCTACTCTACCAAACTGACCCTTAGTCCCTAGGGGCTAGGAACCACGTGACAAGAATATGGCATATTCGTTCTAAAATATTTGTGTATCTTGAAAATTGGCCACAATTATCTAGATGGATAAGTATTTTACTCTTTTCGTCTCAAATTATAAATGTGGTTTTTGAAAATTAATTTTACTTTTTTAAAAAAATAATTATAAAATCATCATATCGTATCTTAAAAGTGTCTAAAAAGCATCATTTCTATATTCATGCCGTATCCAACCAAAAAATATCCGAGTATGTGATATCATCACGGCACCCTAAGTAAAGTATTCATGCTCCCTAAGGGGTGACATTACTTAAGATAATATGAAATGAGTGCTAATGTATTTGGATTTGGCTCAATGGTATTCAAATCATAATTTATTCAACTAAAATTAACACTGCATGTAAATGTGGCTAATCGTCAACCCATTTATAACCTGATTATACCCGTATAACTAAAAACGTTATATTCTCATTTGACCCAATAACGAATCTCAATTATGCTTGTTTAACCAAACATGTTAGATAAACATGTCATGTTTGGGTTTGAAATGATTTGTTTAATTAAATGTCTCTGATAAACTTGCGGTACTCATCTTAGAAATAACCCTAATAGTATAAAATTTTAATTAAACATGTTTTGTCGTGTCGTTTTAGGTATAAATCCATTTATGAAACAAGTTATGCAGATGGTGTCATGTTTCTAGTTAAATAATCATGTCATGTTCGAAAGGAATAACATGAATAATAATTATATCATATTCATGTCGATTCATAGAGCAGAATACTCATATCTTGATAAGACAAACATAACACATAAACCAAATTGCTACCCTTTTGTAAATTATTTTACTCGAAATTATCATCTAGAAAACATGGATTTAATTTTCTAAATTAGAAAGGTTGATTTCATATCAAATTTTTTTTTTTTTTTTTTTATTTGCAAAACTGCCATGCTTATTTTCTAATGAATATCTAAAGACGTGTAGGAGTGAGTCAACTAAGGTTCAATTATTCAGTGGGGGCAATTCTTTAATAGTGTTAGAGTAGTGCATGGCTCAAAATTCACCTAGAGAAATTTATTATGGAAGAACGTAACTGGGTGAGTTTTAGCAAAATTAGTTGAGTTTGAGCAGAATGGTTGAATCGATGTTTCAAAGTAGCAGAACTGGTTGCATTTTAGCGTAACTGGTTGCGCTTGCCTGATATGTGGGAGAATTAGCTTCCTAATTAATCGGTTTTGGAAGTCAGAAAACATAAGAAAATGTTGAAGATTTGGGAAAGAAGCAAGGGAGGAACTAGTAATGGGTTAACTTGGACTATAGCCCAGGTTCAATTGAAAAAAAAAAAATAGTACTATTGTTCCTATAAGCTCATGTATTACTCTTCCTCCTCCTATCAGCCCAGCCCAATCCATAGTATTTCTATAAATAAAAAGAGTTATAAAATTTACAAAGGTCAAGCCTTAAATATGAGCAAGCTCACAAGTCATAGACATGCTCAATCACAAAATAAACTATAATAAAATATAATAGGGCCCAGCCCAGTAAATCAAACACATTGTCAATCTATGGAAGAAAACCTAAACTCTTTGTGTTTAAGGCACTAAGGCATAGGTGGATGGATGTCATGGATTATTATTGTTAATCCAGTGAAATATTGAATTTTATTTTTGTAAAAAAATAAAAAATAAATAAAAAATAAAAAAAGGGCTTTGTTGATGATTTGATAATTTCTTATTAAATTGGGTAATTTACTATATAATGGATTAATAATTAGTTAGGGGCGGAGCACATAGGTCTTACTTTCTAATGTGAATTTATTAATAAGGAACATATATATCTTGCATTCTTATAGTTGTTTGTTTTAATACTTGTATGAAGCAAACTTTAATTAATTCTTGACTGTGAAAATACGTTAGAGTTTGGAAGTGTAAATGTATTAGAAGGTTGTAGATTATTAGGTTTAATTGAATAACTGATGCATGATAATTATGTATTTAGAGCATGGATGACACACTAAGTAATCATAGGTTTAATAATTTTTAACCCCCCCTACTTTGCAATCCTGGCTCCGCCACTGGAAAGAAGTTGTGCCTATTATTTTAGAGTTGAAGACTCATATGGTAACTCATTGTAGGCAAGTTGTGGAATACTTGTAAAACAAAGAATTGGGTTTAAAGACTCTATAAAATAGAGATGGATTGAAAGTTGTAGAGACAGAAGAGAAAAGATACAAGGGGTTTAATAGTGAGTGTTGTGAGGAGATGATAGAATATGTACATTTTTAAAAGAGATGATGCGTGAGTGACTGAAGTTTTGATATCTGGTTATATATTTTATTCCTTGATTTATAATAGTTAAAATATCTCTCTTCGGCCATAGACCTAACCTAAGAATTAGATGAATGATGTAAAATATTGTGTTTTGTGTGAAATATGTATATATTGGTGTTAATGTGTTGTGATATGCTTTTGTGTAATAAAGGTAAAATTTAAATTTCAACAACAACCTATCGATTGAAAGAAGTTAATTATGCCTAACTGGTGGTCACTATTAGATTATTTACGTGGATTGATGCGCTTTAAGAAAGTGAGGTGTAGTACTCATGGATCTAAGGGTACAGACACTCACGAGTTGAAGAAGTTGGACTTTAGATGTACGAATCCAACTTTATGTTAGTGGGCTTGAGTTTAGACCAACCAAACAAAGGTAGTCCTTTAACTTTTAAGAGTGTACTTGAGTGCTTTTGCTTACCTTAAAAGTTACGTTGTAGACTCTAAACAATATGAGTTTTTAGTGTTATTTGACTTGAAAGGTGCACCTAACTGTGTTGTAGCATGTGACTATACTTAAAACATATTAGCTTTTAGGGTTTTGACTTCGGCGGTTCCAAACTTTCTAAATGGGTGGGCTAACTTTAGACTAGATTATCATTACTACATTTTTTTTTTTTTTTTTTTTTTTTTTTTTTTTTTTTGGACTGGACTTAAAGTAATATGGTAAAATTTTTTTTTTTTTTTTTTTTTATGATGGGCTGAAGCCCAGCTTCGCCCTCCCTTGGATCATCATCATAGAAGTACTTCTCAAGCTGAAATGATGCATTGTTGATGTGGAGAGGACCCGAGTCTTAAAAATTGATCATGTAAGAGCAAGCCCAATCGCGTAGATTTTAGAGAATTTGGGCCCGTCTTGTGCGGACCTTCCTATTTTTTTTAAAAAAAATTGTTTAAAGCCCAAATCACTATAGCCCTTAGCCCAGAATTGGGTTAAGGGCATGTTTGGTTGGAAAAAAAATCCAGAAACCTAATTTTTGAGTTTTTTTGGTTCCTTTTTTTTTTTTTTTTTTTTTTTTTTCAACACAATTGAACAAAAAAAGTCTTTAAGGCATTGTTTGACGGACATAAATAGTGCCTTAAAGGCATTTTTGGGCAAAAAAAAAGTAAAAAAGAAAAGAAAAGAACAGATAAGTGCTTTTTAAATAGAAAAAAAATTTGTATATGATTGGGGCATATGCTTGTTCTTTAAAAAAAGGAAAAAAAAAGTGTTATATGGTTGTTATTTTTTCTAGTTCATTTTAATAATGGTGTTGTATTGTTTATTTATTTATTTTTTTATAAAAAAAATCATATAGTATTTTATTATTTTAATTTTTCTAATCCATAATAAGTATTGTATTGTTTAATAGTTTTTGTATGATATAGCTGTTATAGAAGTTAAGAAAAAGTAAATAATAATAATAATAATAATAATAATAATAATAATAATAATAATAATTTATTAAAAATATTAAAATATTTCAATTTTTGGAGAGTGAAAACGTACCATTGGAGCACCAGAATTTAAAGAGTCAAAAACGTTGACGTTGCTCTTGAAAATGCTGACGGGCGTATTGAAAAATGCTGATATGACAAATTCGGAGACCCAAATTTAGAGATGCCATTGGAGATGTTCTAATGCGGTGGAGTGGATCCGAGTCCTAAATTATATCTTGAAAATTGTTCGAACTTTTCTTGTGTGTGTGTGTGTGTGTATATATATATATATTATTCAAGTTGCTGCCTCTGCATGAGTGGGGCTTTGAATTTGGGAAAAAATGTAACTTAGAGATAGTTTTAGTTATTCTTTTTGAATGACTTTGTTGAAAACCTAGATTTTGCGAAACCTAAAATCTGAAGTTCTAATTTTTTATGAAATTAATGAAGAATTGGATTTCTTTTGGTTTTAAATAGAAACCTAGACCTAAAAAATTCGCAATTTTAGGTTTGTGCATGCTTTGATTGGTTTTCATGAGTTTTTCCCTAATTGCTATGGAATTAAAGTGTGAATTTAGATAATTCAAGTGAACTTGAGAATTTGATTTCTAGGTACTTATGAGTTATCTAAACCTAAAATTTCCCAAATGAATTTTATTTATTTATTACTGTATAAATTTTAGCAATTTTTAGTGAAATTAAATGTATAAAGCTATTATTTGAGAGAAAAAAAAAAAATACTTTGTAAATTTTGATCTTTAGGTGCTTGATCTTGCAGTTTGAATTGTACACATAGATCTAAATTTTATGATAATTAGAACTTAGAATAGAAAGGATTTGAAAAAGTCGAGGTACTTTTAGGGTGACAATTCGTGTTTGCAGGTCATAATCGTGTCGTTTCGATTTAAAAATATTATACTAAACAATTCAACTCGAATACAATTCATTTAATAATTGTGTTAAAAACTCTCAACACTAACTTGACTTGTTTATTAAACGGGTTACACGTGTAACCTGTTTAATGACCTATTTACAAAAATAAAACATTATATTATTTAAATTATTAATAATCCTCAATCAAACAATAAATACTAGAAAAATATAAGTTTCAATCTAACCAAATTACTAAATTTTCTCTAGTTTACAAAAGAATAAATTATCAGACACAATTTTAGATAATAATTTTGGAACTCAAATAAATATTTATTTATGACACGTATAGTTAAATGTATATAAACGGGTTACACTGGTTGAATTTTTCAACTCAAATACAAACTCGATTACGTTTAGTTAATCGTATCAACCCGTTTATGATCCGAACCTATTTAAGATTAATCCAAATCCACTTAACTCGTATCGTGTTCGAATCGTGTTATTGGGTCATATCAAATTTTGTCACCCTTGGTACTTCTAAGACCTACCAAGGAATCTGTGGGTTCGATATGGGGCCGTGGGAATCGCAGTACTTCCATATCGCTACCCTAGAGTAGTGACCAGAGCTCAAGCATGTAATTGAAGAGGCTATACACAGAAAGGAATAGAAGTATAGCAATAAAGGTGGTGTCAATCCAAAAAAGAAAGGTTAGAAAGTACTCCTTTTTATACCAGTCTTACCTTTACAATTTATTTACATTTTATCTCGTTTGGAGGATGAAACGTAAATAAATAATAATAATAATAATAAAAACCTTATTTCCAAGATATTGGAGCTAAATTTGGTTCCTAAGACTATCTCCTTAGTGTCAGAATAGTGTTACAGTTGCTTGGAGGTTTATTCTGTGAGAGAGAAAGGGTGCATAATGCCATGGATTCTTGTCCCACATCAAAGTCGGATGAGGCAGGTCATGGACATATATAAGGTTGGGAAGGAGGTGATAGTTACAAACATTATTATTAATTTTTATTTTTATTATTTATTTATTATTTATTATTATTATTATTATTTTTGGGAGTGAGAGGAATGAGGGATAAATGCACTCCACTTTTGATGAGAATTGATATTGTTAATGAAAATTAATTATAAGGGACATTTAAGTCATTTAATTTTAAAAAATAAAAAAGGATAAAATTTTTATTTATCATTTCTCTTGAAATTTTTACAAATTTTAAAATTTTAAAGTTAAGGAGGGCTAACTGCCAAAAAAAAGAAAAAAAGAATCAACCATCCAATTTTTACAACCCACCCCTTGATTTTTTTTAGGCAATAAAAACCTTATTCTTTTTGCTGCAATTACTCTATCGTCAAATGAAAATGACAATTTTGCCCATAATCAATTTAACTCGTGGTAACATTTTTAATAAGTACTTGGATTAAACTAACCCTAATATAACCAAGGTTTATACGCGTTTTTTGTTTTTTGTTTTTTTTAAGTTTTATTTTGCAGTTTTCCCAATTATATACATGTATGAATCTATATATCACAATTATTTATATAAATATAAATACACACACACACATTATGGTGGAGCAAATGAATTAAAAAAATTAGGGTTTCAAATAGGATATATCACCATCATAACTGGCCCCTCTCATTGCAAATATATCATCTTATCATTTCTAAAACCCTCCTTCAAACCGGTCCCTTTTATGTTAATTCATCAAGGACTCTCTGGAGGGCACCTAAGACCAGTGATGGACCCAGGAAATTATGTCAGGGGCGATCTTTTAATAACAACTAGGATAATAAATTGCAAATGGATATTGTGTTTGTGGGTGTCGTGTATGTGAGAGAGACATGGATTGCCGGATGGAGGTAGGGGCCGGTCGGTGATAGAAAAAACTGTCAAAGGCTATATTGTCTGATATAGCCAAAGATAAAATAATATTTTGAGAACTTATCTAGTGGGGCATTTGTGAAATTTCAAGGGGGTCATGGTATAAATTTTTTTAAAAAAAATCAAGTATATAATACAAAAAAAAAAAAAAAAAAAAATCCAGAGGGGCCATCCGCCCCCTGGTCCCCTTAAAGGTCCGTGACTGCCTAAGACACTCCCAACCATGTAAGGTAAAATTAAAAACATCTAACTCTCCTCATACCTAGCAATGCGGGATAATTAGTCCTTTTTATTCATAAAAAACACCACTCTCCAGACAAGATTTACAATTAAGTATCTCATTTATGAGTTCATGACCAGCCCTTTCTCACATGTTCATTTCCTACGAATTTGTAATCTTATTTCAACTAAATATGGATTGCAAATTAATTTTAGAATGTCAAGGAAATCACTACAAAATTATGGATCACATATACACTTGGTTAATAAAATTTTATGATTAAAGTGACCACTGAACCCCTTAAACTTTTTATTGAGCAAGGCAAGTTTTGGCGGAAAAATAAAAAAAAGAAGACAAGTTTACAGTTGAAATAAATTAAAGATTTACAAGAGTCAGTAGTTAAAACTTGAACTTAAAATTTAGTTGTCAAAATTTTCTAGCACCCCACATTCATCACAAACAGAATTCCTTTTACTGGAACCTTGTTAGTCAACAATTGTGCAAACACAAACCAAGTCAATCACATTTCATCCTGATAGTAAGATATTTTATAAAGAACCAGAAATCAGTTGTAAAACTGTAGCGTGAAGCAACTAAAAATATTTTCCTAACCAGATTTGGGGAAGAGAGTTAACATATATACCAACAGAAAATGGTAAAAGCATAAAGTTCCGAAGACAATAAATACCGATTGAAGCACCCAAACAAATGATTGTTACATCAACATATCCATGACATGAAACAAAAATAACAATTCCAATGCTACATATATTCTGATTACCGTTCAAAGACACTCAAACATCCTATTGTAACATCAGCCATATCCATGACACAAAACAAGGCGCAACCATGTAAATGTTTTATTTTATTTTCATCCATATTTACCAAGAACATATAGCAACACCAACATCAAACATAAGAAAGAGAAACATAGGGTGCAGAGAGTAGGCTAGATTTGCTCAGCTGTCAGAGCGGTAAGAGGTCTCCCCTGATGATGAATTTCAAGAGAAAGTAGGGTGTGCAGAGAGTAGGCTAGATTTGCTCAGCTGTCAGAGCTGCAAGAGGTCTCGCCTGATGATGAGTTTCCTTGGTGAAGACGCTTCATCTCCTCATAAGCCCATTCAAGACCAGAGCAATAATGAACTGGTGGATTAAATCTGGTGTCGTTGATGTCATCCGGCAAGAATGCCCCATTTTCTACGAGGAACTTGACTGCTTTCTTGTTTCTTTCTTTAGCTGCATTATGAAGAGGAGTCCCTGAATCCACAAGCAAGCAAAAAGATAAATAAATAACATATTATGTTTTAAGTATCACGATGAATGTGCGTATCTTTTGAATTAAGGAGAGGGAGAGGGAGAGGGATGGGGGTGGAGAAATAAGTGCACTTGACTTGTCTCTTCTAAAAATAAATGCACTTACAGCCACAGGCACCCTTTGTTCGGGCATCAATATTAGCACCACGCTCAAGCAATTCATCCATAACTTTGAGGTGGCCACCCTTGGCAGCGAGATGGAGAGGGGTCACCCCTTGCGATTTGGGGCCCCATGCAGCCACATTCACGTCCATTCCTTCATTAAGAAGTCGTTTAACCTGCCAAAAGAAAAATAGATGTTCCTTTACATGATAATTTTATATGAAGTTTTAAAGTACAAAAGTAAGGTAATAAAGTTTGTAACTATTTTGCAGCAGTAACAAGAATTTTTTTTTCTCAAGTCTTTAAGAGCGAAAAATTATGTAAGACATCCAAATCTATCTACTTTTTCCTCATAATATTGATATAATAGGTTCCGTATTATTATTATATATTTAATGTATGAAGGAGATCAATTATCAATATGTAAATGAAATACATAGACAGGGTCCATTAGCTATGCAGAACCCTAATAACCCCTTTTGCATATCTGAATAAGGAAAAAAAATACTGGTTATATATATTCTGACTGACATTCATCCATATATTGTTGAAAGGAGAAATGAAAGAGAAAAAAAGTGAGTAAGAAAACTGGATCGCATTCGAAGTAGGGAAAATTGACTACTCTTCCATGTTCAATATCATGTTAGCACGCACAAAAAATGTTTCTTACACCTGCAGTTTGCAAAACATGTTTTATCATTCAAATTATAATGCGACCTTTTGGTATTGATCTAGAAAAATATCATGATTATGGTTTTGCTTATATTCCAATTATAACTTCCATGTGATGCCAAATTGATGTGGGAAAGGAATTTGATGAAACATGTTGAAACCGGTTAGTTTTGGACAACGGAATGTCAATTCGGTGGAATGCTTGCCACCTCTAGAGGTGTACTAAAGCTTCTTTATGAAGCAAGTTGAGTGGCAAAGGTTCTGAGGTTGAAACACACAAAATGCGTTCTGCAGTATTGTGATATATGATCTCTTAGCTTTTGTTAATTACTTGAATCTATTTGGGCTTTTTCGTGTTCAGGACAGATCTTTTGAAACTAATACTTGTCACCATGTCAAACTCGGGACTAAATTTATGTAAATATTAACTTGCAAAATTGATTGGACTTATTTTTATTTTATTTTAATATCACTTGAAACTCTGATGATTTGAACTTTATTCTGTTGCAATATTGAAATACCTTGTATATGGAACCTAAAAATTTATCCTACAGGGCCCAGAACAAGTCCACAGTGAAGATCCATCGAAAGATTTATGTGGTTCGGTGTAAGTCTATCCACAGTGAAGATCCAACAAAAGATTTCCTAGAACGAGTCCACAACCTGTATTGATCTTTACCCTCCATTATTTCCTGAAGACACAATGCTCATAGAAATCCATCTCACGTCCTCAGACCACCAAGCAGACCAACATCCGACCTCATCTCACCACCAAGCAGACCCTGCTTTCTCCGAACATCCAACCTCATCTCACTTATACGCCCAAGTCGCGTATGCCACGATATAGAGCAGAAGAATAACTATGATTACCCATGACACTGGTGAAGGATTCAAATTTAAATGGGAGTAGACTTGGGGCAAACTACCTTCCTAACATAAAAGTAAATGGTATTTCAAGGACAATATCTGCTCGCCTAAACAAATCAAGAAACCATAAGCACACAGTTTGTCTTTTAAAATTTACTCAAAATTTTAGTCAGCCCATATGGGAAAAAATATATTCAATCAACACAATTTCAAGCAGGTTCTGAATTCACCATTAATTCAAGAAAGTCCCAAGCAAAAGAAAAACAAAAACACATAAGTAAAACAAAAAAAAGCACAGAATTGAAGACCAAATTATATAATAAAACTCAAAACTTCACAAATCTCCGAAAATCTACCACAAACAATTATCCAATAGCATGACTATACACAGGGAAAAAAAAAACCCAGAAAGCAGGAAAAGAAAACCCAGAAAGCATACCTCCTTGAGATCGCCTCTTCGGGCACCAACGTGAAGCATAGTCCAACCTCGATCGTCCCTATCACCTGCAGACCTACGAGTGCGTCTGCTCCCTCGATTAGAACCCAACTGCTCGTCTGGCATCCTTCTATAAAGTACCCAAAATACACAACCTTCAAAAGAAATCGATAACAACAAACCAACCCTTGAACTCGAAGTTTTCAACAAAAAGATTGATCTTATCTTTGAAATACCACAAACCCTAGAAATACGAACCGATAAGACCTATAGATGATTACGATTCACGGCTTTTACATGATTTAAGAGAAGAACACAAAAAGGGTGGGAAAAGAATTAGCGAGAGAAGTGATTGGCGATGTTGTAGGGTGCAAATGGATTCAAACCAGGTCCAAGAACTCGGAGATTCTGAAGCTTAACGACGAGCGATGATGAAAATCGAAAGAGAAAAGTGATAATCATAGTTGTTGAAAAAACCCCTTATCAATGTTAAATGGATGGGAAATGAACTGAAAGAGAAATCAGACGAATCCTGATACAATTAGGAGAGAATTTGGCGAATGCATATATATATCTCTATGTGTGAATATATCAGACTCAGAAACGAGTAACCACAAGAAACCCTAGATCGAAGACAATAGTTTGGGGACAGTCTTGTGGGATGGATATTTATGGGGGCATCAGAAAAATAGTAGCGTCTTATGCGGGTTTAAACGCCTTTTCTATTTATATATTACTATTATTATTTTCTCAAGACGAACCTTTTTGTTTTTTTTCAGTGTTAACTTAATTAATTGATAATGTAATTTAAATAATAATAATAATAAAGAGTCATTTGAGATTTTTAGTAAAATTATTAATTGACAGAAACATTACTTATTAAATGTTGAATGTTAAAAATTTAAATATTTATTTTTAATTATTACTTAAAAACTTCAACACAAAATTCAAACTCTTTAAAATTTCAACACTTAATTTTTAGTTTATCAAAACAGCACCTAAATAAGAGTTGAATTTTAAATGTTGAAGTTTTTAAATAGTAATTAAAAATATTTATTTTTCTGTACTACCTATCTTTTTAAATTCTTGGTATACACCATTGATATTTCTATTATTTAAAATTTTACTTCATTTTAAGTAATTGTTTATTGTTTTGAGTAATATTCAATTTGTGTTATCATACATACGGTATTGTTTGATAAAACTGAAAATTAAGTAATAAAAATCTTAAGGACTAAATTGTAAGTGGCAATTAAAAAATAAAATATATTTTTTTGAATTTTCAGTATTCAACATTAAGTGATAAGTGATATTCCTGTCACTTAAAATTTTACCAAATTTTAAGTAATATTCAAATACCAATTGGTCAGTGACCTAACGATACCAGACTCCTATCTCTTAAAGAAAGGTTAAGGGTTTGAGTCTCTGTAAAGGCATATGTGTGTGAGTACTAATTAAAAAAAAAAATGATATTTAAATTGCGTTGCTCATTGATTTAGAATTAAGCGTGTAGCTGAATTATCCAACAGTACAGTGTAACAACTTTATATTAGGGGTAATTTGCTTTAATTTTTCCCACACGTTAAAGTTTTTGTAAGGTTACTATAAACACCCTACGAGACTAACATTTCTTTAGTTAATTTAACATTTCATTTGCATTTACCAAAAAGGATAAAACCATAAAACTATCTGTTATAAAAAAAAGGCAAAAGAACAAAAAAAAAAAAACCCTAAACTATAGAATTGTTGCAAAATGCCCCCTAACTATTTTTGGAAGCAAGTTGCACCTCTCAACTGTACAGATGTTGCATATTGCCCCCTTATAACTCACTAGAGTGTACTTTCCGACGGTCTGAAGGACACAATTACTAAACAACCCCTCACTTATTAATTTATTATTAAACTAATTAAATATCAGACGTGTAAAATATCTATAATACCCTCTTTAATTAAGTTAACAAATTTGATATTTATGGGTGTAGTTATTACAGAGAGAGAAAATAAGGTTTTCGTTTTACTTGATTGTGTGTATCATCTATAATATCTTCCAAGTTTTTGAAAGAATTGCACTTGATTGTGTGTATCATCTATAATATCTTCCAATTTTTTTGAAAGGATTGCATTTGATTTTGTGTATCATCATCTATAATATCTTCCAAGTTTTTGAAAGGATTGCACTTGATTGTGTGTATCATCTATAATATCTTCCAAGTTTTTGAAAAGATTGCACTTGATTGGTTGTATCGCTTATAAACTAGAAACCACAGACTAATGGGTTTAGGTCCAGATGGGGCTATGAACAAGAAGAGATAAGAAAGTAGTTTCAGTTACAAGATATGTTCCTATTGTGGGTCTGTCTTCAATTGTGAGTGTTCCAAATTCGTATTTTAAGGTCCCATCTTGAATCATAATTGTGGGTTCACTTCAAGCGCATCTGAAATTTTTGCTTCAATCTGTAAGTATATGTTGTATTACAATCTTGTTGATTTGCTAGTTATTAGAGATTTGCTTGGATTGGATTTAAGAATAGAATATTTTAAAGTATTATTTGTGTAACAACCCAAATCCTCATGGATTTGGATCATTAAACGGGTCCTTACCTGACCCGGAATCGTCCAAGGGTAATACGGTCCTTTCACGTTAAATTCAATTATTATGGTCCAAAAAGGGTAAAATGGTAATTTGCTACAATTCAAGTAGTTTGAAATTTAAAGGGTATAAAAGTCATTTACTTGTATCACGTAATAAATAAAATAAGGTCCGGGACAATATAATCTTTTCGGTAGTTAAAATATAATTAATGCATTTTATTGGGTTATAAAATAATTATTCGCAACATTAATTTGGTGCAAGAGAGTAATTAGGAAAGCTAAATAAAAAAAATTATATGTGGAACATGAACCGGTCGACGTATATACATTATACGTCAGCTGGTTTGGGTTATGAACAGTGGAAAAACCCACTGCCGAGATACCGGTCGACGTATGGGAAGCTACACGTCGACTGGTTTGGACCGTGCACAGTGAAAAGCTTACTGTCAGGATACCGGTCGACGTGTGGGAAGCTACACGTCAACTAGTTCACGTAATTGGGTCGACGTATGGAATTTTACGTCATCCTCACTCACTGTACCGAGATACACCAACTTTGAAAGCCAATCACCCACACCACTACACTCACGTACATACATAAATACATTTCAACATTCACAATAACAACAACTAGAACGTTAACATAATTTACTACACGTTACCAAAATACACTAAAGGATTAAATGATGGTAAAACTTAATTATATTACCCCACTGGTCATGTACATGCTAAAATCCAAATATTTTACATGTTACAAAAGTAATACATCCTAAGTCAACATCTTTACAAAATAAGTTCAAGCTCTACAAAAATACATCCAAAATGCTTCCTAAGTGCTCTCAAGCATGAGGTGGATTATCATCCGCCAACTCCTTGCTGTGACCTGAAAAAAATTCAAATATGGTGGGGTGAGCAATTTGCTCAGTAAGTGGCACCTAAGACGCACTTCTTAAGTCCCCGTGAATCCAAAACAAAGAATAAAACCATGGAAATCGGGGTTATACAATGTCGGGAAATTACAACATGGTTTCCAATCTCAACATAAATAATATGATGCAATGGGGATGCAATGCATGCCGATGTCGCTCCCCATTTTTCACATTTAAAATTATCATTTCAAACAGTTAATATAACCCGCCCTTTGGTGATCCCGCAACGACACGAGAGAAGGATTGACTAGTGTCCCTGACCCTTGGTACCCCCGCGGTGTCATTATGGGGCCCAGCTAGCTTAATCACACTAGAGCGACTCCCTAGTTCCCTCTAGGCTATATTAACACTCCGGCCCTTTGGTACCCCCAAGGATACATGCTGACTGGTTTCGGCCTGCCATGGCCTCGTCAGGGGAACGGCGTAGATCTGACACGATTCTAGACGAATCCTTCTATGGCGACTTTCCCACCGAAGACTTTCTTCCAGCAGAAGAAGTCTCTGGCTCTGGCCAAAAGACTGATGAGGAAAAACCCAAACCAGCTGGTTATCAGTTCGGATAATAAAGTCTTCTGGTGCTAAGTAAATATGAAAACGTTTGATTGCCAATTTAATTGCCAGAAGTTCTTTTTCATAAATAATGTAATTCTGTTCATTGGGTTTCCTACACTGGACTCAAAACTAGTCACTTTGTTTGAACCAAGACCATTTGATACCATAATTGAGCCTAAACTCCTCAATTGGACAGATCTAGAGATCCCTAAAACTTGGACCGACTGTCACAAACAGCTTCGTTCATTTAATGGTTCTTGCTTTAAAGCTTATGACACTCTTATAGAAGCCCAAACCAACTCCATCACAACCACAAAAATGGTTCGTGGTTTTTGCAGGTCACCAGCCTGGCATCTATGACAACTGGGATGTAACTTTATCTATAGTTATCTTCCTTTACAGTTAAACGAAAAAACCATTTCCTGTTTGAGGAAAATATACTTCAGGGATATGGACTAAGTCAGCTTTGATTTGTTGGATAATGGTGGTATCGCTTTCAGTCCAATCAAAAGTGAACTCAAAAATCGCAATGTCGTCATTCGTGTTAAACCAATGATCTACCTGAGAAGGGACATTGATGGATAACCAGGCAGTAAAAGATTTTCTCATAAACAAAAGAAACTGCCTTGATGGGCGACGCTTAAAATGGTATGCATCCAGATCTGTCTCACTATTGACTGGGAAAAAGATTTTTCTCTGTCACAAATTCATTGTTGGTTGCCTCTAAATTGTGCTGGAAATCGATTTTCCAGTCAGTAACCATGTCGACAAGAAAGTTGATATTCCATCTCGAGTCAAGGACGGTGCTGACAGACTTAATCTTGAGCTCGGAGGCATTTGTTTCAAGAATAAGTTTATCTCCTGTTTGAGGAAAATATACTTATAATCGTCGCAACAGTCATACAGACACTGACATATAAGCAAAGACAGGATAATATGGGCTTGCAACAGCATTCAAACATAAGAGAAATATAACATAAGCACAACTTAGATACTGAAAACTTTTGCTTTATTCGTAACATAAAGATTTGAGCCGGAGGCATGAATCGTCGCAACAGTGGGTTCTGTAATGCGTAACTTGGGTGGGAGTCTACGGAAGTATTTGGTAAATAACTTGACGTACTCTGGAAATTGGCAAACAGAGGCTAAATTTTCCTGGATAGGGATTTCAACGACTGTTTGATCTTTGAGAGTTAAAGAAATGGTTGTAAACAATTGAGCTGATCTATGATGCTTTCATAATCGTCTCGACGATAAGTAGAGTTTGGTGATGGGAGCTTTACGAGCTCGGATCATGGGATAAGATGGAGTGTCATCAGTCCACTTAAAAGCCATTCCTCAAGAAAAGTGGACTGATGACACTCCATCTTATCCCATGAAACTACAGGATCATATCATTATTAAGATCCGTGATTTCCTTTGGTTACACGCCAAATGAAAATTCTAGTGACTCTGACGAAGAAAATACTTCAGAAGACGAACAAATTTACGCCTTGTCGATCCGGGGGTCTTGAGAATGAAGACGGTGCACTAAAGCGTCGGTGGGCAATCAATGCTGTCTTTTGTAATGCTATTTAAACCAAAGCCTCAGTAAGGTTTAGGTATCTGTTTTTGTATCTGTTTAATAG